AGATACAATCAATGAGGGAAGTTCAACTCATGCAATGTAGTTCGCTGCGTTTACACTTACCTAACATTTCCTAAAGCTATTAGCTTAAATTTCAGGATTGTATACCATGGTACATAAGTTTTGTTGTTTTGATTATTTAAACATTAAAACACATATTGGCTAATATTGTGCAAACTTGACAAAAGGGGTAGGGTAGGCATTGGACTTATCCATTTGCAGAATATGCATGACCTTGAGCAAAAGGGAAATCCCGATTGTCGCCGTGTCTGTTGATTGGCCAGGCGCGATGGGCTTCTCCTGTTACACCCTCCCTGATGCTCCCGATGCAGGGAAGAGAACTGCGGAGAAAAAAGATAAATGCGACGTCACAGGACGAAACTGGCCAATAAAACAGTCAAAATCGCTTATCAAGTCATACAGGACCTTTTTATATGCACACTGTCGCAGAACACGAGAAAATTGGCAACACAAACACAGTATTTGGCAACCTTCTGGATGTTAAAAAAAATAATTGTGTGCGAATAAATATTAATAAAATTTTTTATATTTATACCATGGATCCAGAAAGCAAGGTAAGATTACACCCATTTAATTTTTGATTTATTCATAACAGAAACTTTTTTTTTACGTAAAAAGATCCATTGTATGGCTGTACTTCTACAGAACGTAAATTGGTAAATTTAAGGAAAACTACATATACAACTCACCGTTATTTTTGTAGCCACAAAGTTGGTTAAATTAGCAAATTAGCGGGATTTTTCTTCTGATTAAAATGACTTTATCAATTAATGTTTTGCAGGTTCGGAACTGTTTAAACATTTAGCGATCCTAAATTAAAATTCATTTTTCGTACAAGAAAATTTATTTTCGTACAATAATACTTTTAAAGTGGACAATGTTACCATTTTTACAACGTACTGGCTAACAAGCAGTTTAGGGCCTTCGAAAAAGTGTAATGTGTATGCGCCTGAGTCAATACCCGAAGAAGCATGCGAGGTGAAATTAAAGAGCCGCCTGTCGCCGCCTTTGAACCAGCACCAACAATATCCAGCAACTCTGCGTGAGTTTATTCAAGCAGCAGCTGCACTGGTTATTAATAAAAACGCTGTTTAAATTAGTTATAATTACAAGTTCATGTTCTGAAAAAATTACTTGCGAGAAGTGCCAAATCTTAACCTAAAAATTGCTTTATCATTGTTTTTACTAAGGTAATTCTATTTTTGTAACTATTTTATTGTTTTGAGCTCTTTTCTCTCGCTACAAGGCCGTTCACGAATAAATTCCTGGGATGACTTAGACTTACACTTTTTTTTTCGAAGCTAAGGTCGTCCGCATACCGGTTTTGTCTTCTCGAGAAGAATATGAGAATAAGAGAATCTTCGTTGGTCAGTCTCAGAACCTTAGAATTTACAATTCTTCGGTATGCTTGGTAAAATTTGTAATGTGCTCACATTTTTTGAGTCCAGTCACTTAAATAGGTTTCACCACAAATCCGAAAATGTTCAACATAAGGGCTTTTATAAAAAAAATTACAATTATACAAAAACATTTTACTACTTCTGTTGATTTACCAGTACAAGTAATAAATCAAATATGTAATTTTTCAGAAACGCTGACTTAAAAATAACTCCATAAATATTAGAAAACCAATTAAATAAAGCAAGTTATATACAGGGTCTGAACGAGGAAAACGAAATACGAGGTGTGCTCAGAAAATAACAGGACTTGTTAAATTTCGCGGGTTCGGAGGGTCCGGTTGTCATAAAATTTTCTTTATTATGTTGGTATACATGCCCCCGAAGTATGATAAAAACTTTAGCTGTTTTTATTGTTTACTTTGTCTGTGGCAGCCGGTTGTCATAAAATTTTCTTTATTATGTTGGTATACATGCCCCCGAAGTATGATAAAAACTTTAGCTGTTTTTATTGTTTACTTTGTCTGTGGCAGCCGCTAAGGTTAGACGTGTTTTATGAGCTCGGCGATTTTCGTTCGTTAAAAGAAATGGATCAAAGAATTTGCTTAAAAAATTAAATAAATTCTGTAAAATGTTAACAAAGGCCTATAGTGAGTCTGCTATAAGTAAACCAAGAGTTTAGAAGTGGTCTAAGAGTTTCCAAGATGGCCGTGAAGACGTTGAAGATGACGAACGCCCCGAACTCACAAGCACATTAACAACCGATAAAAACATGGAAAAAGTGAAAGAAATGGTTATAAACCATCAGAGAAGTCGCTGATGATGTTGGTATATCGATTGGCGCATCCCATGAAATTTCGAATATTTTGGGTATGAAACATAATTTTTGGCCAAAAACAATACTGTTATGATGCCCCAGCCTCCATATTCGCCAGACATGCCTCTGTCTGACATTTTTCCTATTCCCAAAAATAAAGAGAACCTTAAAAGGCCGTCGTTTTGCAAGCATAGATGATATTAAAAGCGCATCGCTGAAAGAACTAAAGGCTATCCCAAAGATCGAGTTTTAGAAGTGTTTCGAGTATTGGAAGAAGAGCTGACAAATGTGCATAAAATCCAATGGGGGCTATTTTGAAGGCGACAACATTAATGTAGACGAATAAATAAATATTTGTTTAAAAAAACGAAAATTTCCGATATTTTCTGAACACACCTCGTACAATAGATTTCTTCATTTAAAATAAGTTGATCCCACTACCAAAAACATAAAATAATTTAAAAAATTGTCATTACAACTGCAGCTAAGATAAAGTATATACTCTTCTATATTTATAGTTATATTTATATATTTATTCTTTGCCTTAGCAAAGATTAAATATAAAGAGTATATTTAGTCTTTGGCCTGAGTAAAAAAAATATAAATATAAATTTTCAGACACTTGAAAGTTTAAAATTGACTCGAAGTATTTGCAAAAAAAACGGCCACTAGAAGCTGGCAACAATTTTAATGTTGATTTCCTCGCCAACCGCGACCTTTATAATTATTCACAGGCTTGCTTTAGCAGAATGAATTGCGACAAACTTAAAAAAATGTACGAAAACTTAACCTAAAAGCAAAACACTGACAATGACAACTATACAATTATTGTATAGTCGTCATTGTCAGTGTTTTGTTTTTAGGTTCAGTTTTTAAACATTCTCTTTAGTTTGTCGCACCTATACTCATTCTGCTAAAGCAAGCCTGTGATTGGAAACTTTATTTAAATAATAAATAATTAAAGGTGAGTCAAATCAAAAAACGCCAAAGGATTTTTCGCCTTCTTCTCTACTATAAGCCATAGAAATATTGTAACCTTTTTTTTTATACCCTGTATACAAAAATAGTTAATAGATTGCAAGTTAATAAAAAAAGTGTAAAAGCTAATTAAAGCAAATTATGTGTGTTAAAATAAAATTTCTTGCCAGAGTATTTGTGTATTATACAATAATACATAATAATAGTTGAAAAAATAAATGAAATCAAAATTTACAAAAACTTCTTCCAATTAAAGCAAGTTATGTGCGTTAAAATAAAATTTCTTGCCAGAGTATTTGTGTATTATACAATAATACATAATAATAGTTGAAAAAATAAATGAAATCAAAATTTACAAAAACTTCTTCCAATTAGAATCCCTGTAGGTATATTAAACAGTTTTTTATGTCAAAGATATGTGTGTAAACAAAATTTGCAACATTTCTTATAAATGTAATTTATTAAATTTAATTACAAACCCCAAAATTATTTATTAACATTTAATTTATTAGGCAACATTAACCATATGTATTAACTAAAGTAACATACCACAAAATACATTTGTGTTTTATATAGTTTGGTCAGGTTACATTTGCAATTGCTTTTCAAACATCAAAGGAAACATTCGCATTTACAATGCGTATGTTTAAATTATTTTGTAATTAAGCTTACCCAACACGGTACACCAAAACACTAAATAAATTTCAGTTGAAAAGAAAAAAAATAAATTTTAAATCGCCAAAAGTTGTCGATAATGTTTTGCATCTGTAATTGTATTAAATAAAAAAATAGTAGGTATTTTCTGTAATCTATCTAAGCAAAAATACAATTTCGTGTTTATTAAAACTAAATTTGTTATGAGTAAAAGACCAGGCGCACTTTTAGTTTAATCAATAAGTTGGTGGAGTTTTAGTTGGGCTCTTTGGCGTGGCCTGCGAGATGAAATTTCCCGTGGGAAATTATCCGACTAAAAATCCTAAATAAGGATATAAAAATAATCGCACGGCGAAAGGGATTTTTTCCATAAGAAGCAAGAATTAAGAAATAAGTTGCCGGCAAAAGAAAATTATTTTTTTTTATTAAGTGGCGTTTTAATATTCTGGGTTAAAGAATTTAATTTTCTAGATTAAAAATATGCCGCATTAATTTGAGAAATTAAAATAGCTCCGTTAATTAAATGTATTAATCATAATTATTATTATCGTTTTTAGATTTCTTGTATTATTTAGAAGTAAGGGATTTTTAAAGACATTATTTTTAGTTCTAGTGGTGACATAGCTAACATATAATTAGAATATTGTTATTTAAGTTACAAACAGAGTTTTTGAACATATTTAATTTGATATTTTAAGGAAAAGGTAATACCTACCTACACACAAAATAGACAATAATTAATAAATGACCATAATATTGTACCTAAGTAGTGATTCTTTTGCGTTAAGTTATTCATATTATAAAAACAATATTATTTAAAAACTTAATTTATGAGACTTACTATACACAGTTTTAGCCATGTTCTAGAACTCCCTTACACAAAATTCTGGAATCCAGAGATAAAATGGTACAATAGGCGCCCTCTGTTTGAAATAATTGCCAACCATAAACAGAGTACAATCGTTAGAGTGACTCTAACTAACGTGGTTAAAAAGCGCCATCTATAGGTGACTGGATAAGGATTCACAATGATTTGCAGAATACCGTAATATAAATAATTTTAAAATGTTTTGAAAATATTATTCACTTGAAAATAAATAAATAAATATAGGTAGGTATAATATAAAAAATCTTACCTGGTCATTTGTTGGTCCTGATTCAATATTACAGGCCTGAACAAATTCTTGACCCTTCACCAATTTTACAAAAGAACAAGTTGGAAACCATCTAGCATGTTCGGTCCATGGATCATCGATGGGATCCCAGTTCCTTAGGCCTCCATCACAATGAAAACATCTGACTTGGTCACTGACACCTTCATAATAAAACCCTGCTGGTGCCAAAATATCAGGGGTTTGAATCAATTCTGCAGGCCATAGTGTAAAAGTTCTTAGTCTAGCTTCTATTGTGGCATATTGAAGGTGTTTAGGTCCCTGGTGCATAAAAACTCCCAAAGCATTTAGAGAGTCACCATCTTGATTGACTTCTGCACTTCTAATGGCTAATGCAATATTATTATTTGGGGTACTTGGCTTGTTTAGAAATAATCTAGGAGTAATTACACTATTAACATATGAACATCTAGGAAAATGTCTTTTGTGTTCCATATCAGGGTTGTCACCTGGTTCCCAGGACATAACAATGCCCTGACAGAATGCGCATTTGGTTCTATCACGGTCCTTTAAGTAGTAAAACCCTGATTTTGCCAAATCTGTAGGTGTAACTATGTGAGACACAGGCCAATTTTCAAAAGTGGCCAATCGATCCTCCTCGTTTTGTAAATTAGTAATGGTGGATGATGAAGGCACTGTTGGAGGTAGTGGTATATTACCTGAGTTTATGGGGTCCTTCACAAAGGGACAATCAGGACTTAAGCTTCTGTGCAATGACAATACTTGGTCACCATGATTCCAATTGGATATTTGCAAGTGGCAGGCAAAACATTCCACTGTTTGAGCATTTTTTGTGTAGAAAAAACCTACTTTTGCTATTTTTGCTGGGTATACGCCAACAATAAAAGGCCAATCACTAAAAGTTTCCAATCTATTAACTTCTACATTCATATTTGTAGGTTATGTTCGCCTGTGGAAAATCAATTTAACCAACTAATTTACCGCAATAACAATACTACCACACTACATATTTCTGTTATTAGCTAGCTTTATTATGTTGTTTTGTAACATAATTCGTCGATTAAGTAACATTTTTTAAGACATTTTTTTATTTTGACAAGGGGCGCCACAATACAATACACATAACCCAACAAATAAACGCCAACAAAAAAAACAATCTTTATTTTAATTCATTTAAAATGTAGCAATAAGTAATCTGTGAATTTATTCCAGTCGTTTCCATTTTGGATTCAGCTTTTTCTAAATCTGAAATTCTAAAAAATGTACACTTTTTTACCTTATTTTTGCATGTTTTAAAAACAAACCTTTTTGTTATTATTTGAGCTTTACTTTCCCAATATTGTTCTTTAATTTTATTTATTATATTTCTTATTCTTAGAAACGAGGTGTCCAAATCATTGGAAATTGAAGAAAACTCTCCTTTTTCGGTACCAATTTTTTCTTTAATTCTTTTAAATTCATTGTAAATAACCGAACTGAGATTATCAAGCTTATCTGAAATATTTTCCATAATTTAAATTTTGACAGTTTTAAAAACTGAAATAAAGTGCGCATGTTTAGGGTACCTACCTACCTATATAAACTTTATACCCATAGGGTTTTACTAAATAACTATTATTAATTTATTTTTAATAATAATGATAGTATCAGTAGTTACCTATGTTTACATAGGTAGGTAGCAATTAAATATTTTGATTTTTTTTTAAATGCAATACTTAACAAACATATACAAAGCAATCAGCTGATATGAATTGGTGGTGGTTTAGGTCAAAGTCCTTTTATTATTAGAAAGATAAATGTTATCATTACTTTAGTATTTAAGAATTAAAGAATCTAACTTACTAAAAAATAGCCATGTCGTTTTCAAAATTATCCAAGGTTAACTTTAAAAAACTTAAACAAATGAAAGGGTTCATATCAAATTTGACTTTTATATATTTTAGGTTATAAAAGTGACTTCTAGAAAATACAGTTCAAAACCTAATTTAAATGAAGTGGTTATTATTTCTGCAGCCCGTACCCCAATGGGCTCATTTCTTGGATCTTTGGCTCCCTTATCAGCAACTAAATTGGGCTCCATTGCAGTGCAAGGGGCAATCGAAAGGGCTGGAATTCCTAAAGATGAAGTTAAGGAAGTTTTTATGGGACATGTGTGCCAAGGAGGAGCTGGACAGGCTCCGGCAAGGCAAGCAACATTGTTTGCTGGAATGCCCACATCTACAATATGCACAACAGTGAATAAGGTATATATTTTAATTTTTTATTACGTACCTATAATAATAATAATAATAAATGCTTTTATTGGCAAACTGTTTTATAAATGGATAACGCTTATCGAAAAGGAACCAAGCGCCAAAAAGTTTTTATTGGCTTAGTAAAAAATTTTTGTAAAATAACTCAGTTGATGCTCAAAAAATTAATCACTCGGTTAATCATTATTTAAAATATTTCTCAAAATGATTGAGAGGGTCCCCAAATCATTATTAATTTTTTAACAGCTTTAAAAATGATCATTTTTACTTGAGCTATTTTGCAAATAATTTTGTTTACCCAAGAAAAAGTTTTTGGCACTTGGTTTCTTTTCAATAAGTAATAATGTATAAATACTAAAGAATAGATTACAGTCTGTCAAAGGCAGAGTTCAGACTAAAGTGTCTGCTCTTCCACTCAACCATAAAAATTAACTAAACAAGAATTATACCAAAAAATAAAAAAAAGTAATATTTTACACATGTACACATTCTTGTAATTCTTAGTTATCCCTGTTAAAAATAACCCATAAAGACCAATAGAAAAGCTATTGGGATTTTCCAGCGGCAGCTCTATTGGTTTGAATTGGTCTCAATAGTGGTATCTGTACCATGAATTACCAATTCAAACCAATAGCGACACCGCTGGAAAATCCCAATACAGACCGATAGAGACTAATCGTATTTTATTGGTAATTCCCAATAGATATATTATAGATACATTTTATTGGTAATTCCCAATAGAGCTATTTGGATTTTCCAGAGGTACCGCTATTGGTTTGAATTGGTCCCCACTATCCATTTTAGACTTCTTTAAGGTAAAAAATTACGTGTTTTGATGGTTAAATAATTTCTCAAAAATAGTGCTGTTTAACATTTAATTTAAATTTTATAAATAGCTTCTGCTAAAAGTAAGTAGTGGGGCCCACTGCTTACTTTTCGCAGAGTGGGCCACAGGACGATCTGTGCCCCTTTAAAAATTCCAAAACGCCAAGCGTTTCCATGGCCAGTAATTTTGCCTTAGTAAGGAATTCTTACTTAGCAGCTCAAGGCATTCCACCTTTATAGGCCTATGTATTGTGCTACAGAGGCGAGAGGTATGCATGGGTTGCCTACCTATTGGCGAATTTTGAAAATAAATATTAAAGTGGTATATACCAATAGGGTTCCTTGTACCTACACACCGATAAAATACCAATTCAGACCATTAGTTTATCTATTGGTATTTTCCAGTAAGAAAATTGACAATAGAAACAAGTGGTCATTTGTATTAAATTGCGCAGGCGCTGAACATTTAAGTGGTATTTACCAATTGAATTTCAATTGGGAATTTCCTGTACTTGTAACTTCTTATAAAAACCAATTCAGACCATTAGGTAATCTATTGGCATTTTCCAGTACGGAAATTACCAATAGAAACCAATGCTCATTCTGTTGAGAAACCAATAGGCCCAATAAAGACCAATTCATTCCATTCTGATTTTTTATTGGTTTCTATTGGTTTCTATGGGTGATTTTTAACAGGGATACATCATACTTTAATTGTTAATTATAAAATTGTTATGATTTATATGTACATCTGTATATATACACTATATATAAACTATACATTGTATTTTTTTCATTTGAAGAGTTTCCATAGAATATTTCCATAGAATGGCAAAATTTAATATATGATTTTGTACATCATATACATCATACTTTAATAGTTAATTATAAAATTCTTATGATTTATATGTATATCTGTATATATAAACTATACATTGTATTTATTCCATTTGAAGAGTTTCCATAGAATGTCTTCAAAATTTAATATATGATTTTGTAAGGCATCATGTGCCTCACAAAATTATATATTAAATTTGGAATGTGTGTGCATACACATTCACAAATAATTTCAGATTGTTTTACAGTACAGATTCAAAGAAAATATTTTTTTAAGTTAAATTTGTTTTTTCATACCTATGCCATTTTTTTATTTTGTATCTTTCAAGCTCCCTTTTTAGATTTCTATAAAAATAAACTAAATAATCAATTTTTAAGCAATCAACATGTTCCTATTTTATTTCTCGAGTTTGGAAACGAGTTTTTAAAATATTCTATGGGAAATCTGGGAAATTTTCTATTATAGGTATTTTCCCTAGATTCTTTTAAAAAATTGTTTTTAAACTCGAGCAACCAAAGAGGATCATGTCGATGGCTTAAAAATTGATTATTACAGTAGGTAATTTATTAAAATCTCTAAATACAATTTTTTACCCCTTTTTAAAATAATTTATTATTGTTTTTTCAACTTATCAAACCTTTGACATTATAACAACAAATTAACATTTTATATTGTTACTTAAGTAATACATAATAATTATTTACTGTTTATCTACAATGTAGACGACAATATTAAGTAATTACTTAATATTGTAGTCTACAAATAATTTATAGTAAAATCTAAATATATATAGGTAAACACAACTAGAAAGAAATGTTGGCCCACTAAAAAGGTTTTTTTCTAGAATAGGTATTATTAAATATTAAATAAAAATTAAATATTAAATAAAAAAAATTAAATATTAAATAAAAAAAAAATCTTTTGTATTTTTATAATTTATAGTCGATTCATTTTTGCTTAGTCCGAAAAACAAGATACAGCTTAGGGGATAGGAAAAAAAAGTAAAATTTTACCTTAAGGAAAAGTCGTAAAAAGAAACAAAAAAGTCAAAAAAGTAGCCTCTTACTCACTAACCCATATTCTATATCTATTCAAAAAACACTTTCGCAAATTTGTATGTCATATATATATGACATACAAATTTGCGAAAGTGTTTTTTGAATAGATATAGAATATGGGTTAGTGAGTAAGAGGCTACTTTTTTGACTTTTTTGTTATATATATATATGTCAGAATTATCATCGAAAATTGGACGTAGTTCAGAACTACGTCCAATTTTAGATGATAATTCTACTAGTTCTGCAGAAAGCACCAACAAATTGAAAAATTGAGATATTTTGTTTAGTAACAGAAAATAAGCTTAATTTTATTCAAGAAAAATCTTTAAACCCTATGGTCTAAAAAATCACAATCATAAAATATAAATAATCCATTTTATTATGATTTTTTGTAAACATTGATATATTGTACCTACATTGTAGTTCATCTATCATTAAAAACTATTTATTATAATTTATTGCGATTTAATATAATTCCACTAAAACTGTAATCTCAATTGACACAAAACAATTGTTTGGTTGGTTGGTAGTTTTCTGCATAACTGGCTCCACTTATAGTTGAAAATCTCTAAAATGTTAAAAGGTAATGAAAATTAATTATTGCTTTGTTTCATAGGCTATTTTATGAGGCAGCATGCTAAATTTTCTTTTATAAAAACAAGACTGAAAAAAAAAAAGGTGTTTGAAGTATTTTTTATCTTATTTTAGTGAATATTTGCTATAATTACTAAAATTTTATAAAAAATATTGTTTTTTTAGGTTTGTGCTTCTGGTATGAAAGCTATAATGCTGGCTTCTCAATCTTTACAAACTGGTGACCAAGAAGTGGTGTTAGCTGGAGGTATGGAATCCATGTCGAATGTGCCATATTACATGAAAAGAGGCCAAACTCCATATGGAGGTGTAGCTTTGCAAGATGGTATTGTGGGAGACGGTTTGACGGATGTATACAACAAATTTCACATGGGCAACTGTGCAGAAAATACAGCCAAAAAAATGGGAATTTCCAGACAACAACAAGATGAATTTGCTATAAGCAGTTATAAAAGAAGCGAGCAAGCATACAAAATAAATGCTTTTGCTTCCGAGTTGATTCCAGTAAATATTCCTCAAAAAAGGGGCCAACCCGACAAAATCTTCACTAAGGATGAGGAGTATAAGAAAATTAATTTCGATAAGTTCACTAAATTAAACACAGTGTTCCAAAAAGAAAATGGCACAGTAACAGCAGGTAACGCATCCACCCTTAACGATGGGGCAGCTGCTCTCATTCTGACAACTCTCGATGCAGCTAAAAGACTGAACGCAAAACCTTTGGCCCGTGTGGTAGGTTTTGCTGATGGAGCTTGCGAACCCATCGATTTTCCCATAGCCCCTGCTACTGCAATACCAAAACTCCTTAAATCCACAGGAGTGAATAAAAACGATGTAGCTTTGTGGGAAATAAACGAAGCCTTCAGCGTTGTAGTTTTGGCCAATCAACAGCTGTTGGACATTGATCCAGCTAAAGTAAACATACATGGGGGAGCTGTAAGTCTAGGACATCCTATCGGAATGTCTGGAGCCAGAATTGTTGTGCATCTGGTGCATGCACTGAAAGCTGGAGAAAAAGGTGTCGCCTCTATATGCAATGGAGGTGGTGGGGCTTCTTCTATAATGATAGAGAAACTGTAAGTCTTAAATGTGTGTAGTTTAAAGCAATATGTCTCAGAATAAGCTATTTTTGTACCTTGTTTAAATTACAATTCCTTAAAAATGAATTTACTGCCAACATTTTTTTCTTTTTAAATAGCATAATTTTTATAAAATTTGATTTGTTTGATTTTGGATGATTTTCACATCAAACTCCGAACACATTATATTTTACATAATGTGATATTTGTTTAAACTAACAAAATCAAGTATTCTTGTAGGTATGTAAAACTGCACTTCCTTTTTTAGTAGAATTTTGAACACCATATAGTTTTACTTGAATAACATTGTTCCTATTTTTTAAAATTTCAATACCAAAAGGTCAAAAAATATATTAAATATATTACGGAATTGTTTACAACTATGGTGCAAATTTATCTTATTTATTAGTAATAAAAAATTGTATCATAAATTTCAAATTAACTTTACACTTCTGCAATATCAAGTTATGTTATCTATTTATAATATAATTACAATTATATATTTTTATATACTGCTAAAATTTAAAAATAAATTTGGTAAGCTTGGTTTTTATTTTTTCTCAGTGAAGAAACCCTGCCAAAAGGTCAGCTACCAAAATTGACTCTGTACACTAGAGACCCCTGTCCATTGTGTGATGAACTAAAGTTGGAACTTGAACTCTATAAACACAGGTTTAATTTTGAAACGGTAGATATTTCAAAAAAAGAGAATCTCAGGTGGTTAAGGCTCTATAGATATGAAATACCTGTATTGTTCTTAAATGGAGAGTTTTTGTGTAAACACAGGCTTAATGAAGGTTTGTTAAAAATAAGGCTGGAAGAACTTGAAGAAAGGAATTGAATTTTTAAAGGGTTATTTTTTTCACTAATATGCTTTAAGGTGGGTACATTGTAGCTTGTGGAAGTTTGATTCACAGATTATAAAGGTTTGATTTATTCTAGGCCTTTTTTATCCTACTCTAATTTTGTTATCAAATGAAAAAAAAATATTATCAAATAGGTACTACACAATGAGAAAAACGACGTGTTTTAGTGCCGAAGCAAATGCTTTAATGAATTAGAATAAAAAAAGCATACAACAGCTTCTTAAACTATTACATTTTAAATAATACACAATATACCATTTTTCTAAATAAATATCTTCTCCCAGTTAAAACAACATGAATTTAACAAACTTTTAGTTTGAAACTTATTTGCACACTTGTTATCTTGGTTGCATACCCTCAAAATTTTAAAGTGATTGATTATCGCATGGAGCTTGCACAAGGAGTACGAACTGCATGTATACAAATGGCTTCCTAAAATGAGATGGCGCTAGTGTTCTGTTGTTTCACATACTTCCTGGAAGTATGTGTTGTTTAGGTTGTACCGAAACAGTGGTGGGGTGTAAGAAGACGCATAGAAAGGAATATAAGAAGGGCGACCACTGTATTAAACTTAAGCAACACAAACGCCATAAACGCCTGCCAATTAGGGCCCTATTCCAAATTTTAATAATTATAATATTAATTTATTTAAATTTGATAAATAAAATAAAATTGCAAAGATTTATTTATTTTAAAAAGTAAATGGTTATAATACACTAATTATAACAATAATAACAAAAAGTGTATCTGTATTTTCAAGCAGCTCAGAAGTAAAAGAAGGTATAAAACTTTCCTCCTGCATCGGTTTCGGCCCTAAAAAAACATACAAGTATTAAAAAAAATTTATGTCCATTACATTTTATAACAAAAGTAAAAATTTCAATAACTTTCACCAGGGTCATCAGTACGTTGGAAATTACTTCGGGTACGCTTCGTGACACCCAAACACGAGAGATCTAAACTCGATGGGTCTAAAATTTAAAAGCGCGATGGGTCTAAAATGTGTGGCAACGTTGTTTTTGAAACGTCAAAGGCGTAAGGCTTCGTTCACATTTTTCATAAAAAATCTTATTTTCTTAAATGAGATTCACCTACTTTCGTTCAAACAAGATTTCGGTCAAAGTAAAGTAGGTACTTCTGAAACAGATATGCAAAATTAAAAATTGTGGTGGAAAAGGTCCTTCAGGGATTATTTTGAATGAAAGGGTGGATTCCATTGCCAAAGCAGCATCAAACAAAAATACAGATAAATATAAAATCCCCTTTTTTAGAATATCGGAAAATACAAATACCTATACAATAATAATTATTGGAATAAATTGCAAGATATACACATACCTATAGGTTACATTTAAGTGTATCTTGGTGTTATCCAGGACTCATGGAGAGTTATTTTTGTATGGAGTAGGTATGCTTTAGTTTTTTGCTTTGCCATGTATAGATTGGATTATATATCATGAAAGGAGTTATAACAAGTTTTATGACAATTTTACCAAGGAAATTGTTTAGAAGGTATACCTTTATAAAGATTGATATAAATGTTAATGTTTAATGTACCTATATACCTATAATAGGTATGTATGTATAACTGGTGACATGAAAAAGTTTTACTTTAACAGTGACATGGAGTCTCTCAGACTCGCTGGATTATTATAATATTCTGACTAGGAAAACGAGGGGCCTCTAGGCAAAAATTCAAAAAATTACCTCCTCCACCAACTTAGATATCCTCTTAGCTTGTTGAAGAAAAGTGCAGTAATTTGGAAGGTGGTATAATAATATTTATAATGTATTTAATTAATGTTGTTCTGTTTATTACTTTTATGTCAATACTAATTAAATTTCACTGTTACAGATTTCCAAGCAGGCAGTAATTTTTCTAAAAAGAGCCCTATTCCATCAACTTCGAAAAGCGCCCTAGAATTAATAAAGAACAATATAGGTAAGTTTTCTGAGCTGTTCTTAAAACTTGTAGTGTACCTAATGAATGCATTTTAGGTGAAACATTCAAAACAGGTACTAGTTGTTGTTGCAATCCACAACTGTTATATAATATATATTATATACAGACACTGTTGTTAGAAATTAATTCCAAAGTGGGAAAATGTGGAGCAGAATATCGTAAGGAAGTTTTTGAAAACTTCCTTTCAGATTCTGAAAATTATTCAGCATTGGTAATTTCTTTTTTATCTATTATCCTAGAATTTTCATATAGTTACATTAGTGAGTATAGTCGTTTTTTCGCGTAAATACTATGAAATACTACGGTTAAATAAGTCATGACGTCACAGTTAATTCATATAACCATGGTTAGGTTTCTAACATTTGACATTTGTTTACTTGTTCATAACCTATAATTTTTAAAATGTGTTTTTACCTATTTATATTTAATTTCTATGCTTTTACAGCTGTAAATAAATTTCTTTGCCTCTTCTTTTACCTTGTATATTTTTTTTCTATGAACCCTAGTTCTTATACCTACCTTTTCTATACCTCTTTTTATATATAAACAGTTCTTCACTGTTGTTTACCATAATTAAAATCCAACAGTGTTTAACGTTTATACGAAAATTATTATTGTAAAACTCAAAATTTAGAATGGAACCCCAAAGAAAAAGACGAAGGTTGGCGGTATGTTTTGGAGAAGATATGTTTAGCACACAACATTATTCCTACATAAACATATTAAATATATATATTAAAAAGAGAAAGACTATTAACCACGTTGAATAACTAGCTCAGCGATATAGTTTTATGGTCTGGTATTTGTGACGTCATAGTTAGGATTTTTGAACGCACTCTAAACGCAAAAATGCCTTAACCATTAACCAAGGTTAAGTTTAATGACCATAGTATATCATGGTATTTACGCGAAAAAACGACTTATAGTTTCTTATTCTGATTTATAAGTCGTTTTTTCGCGTAAATACTATGTAATACTACGGTTAAATAAGTCATGACGTCACAGTTAATTCATATAACCATGGTTAGGTTTCTAACATTTGACATTTGTTTACTTGTTCATAACCTATAATTTTTGAAATGTGTTTTTACCTATTTATATTTAATTTCTATGCTTTTACCGGTGTAAATAAATTTCTTTGCCTCTTTTTATACCTAGTATATTCTTTTTCTATAGGTACCTACTAGTTTTTTTAATACACGTTATCCAATTCTCCTACATGTTTAATACAAAATAAGGAAGAATATAAAAAACCTGCATATAATTCCTCCACTTGTGGAGATTCACAATATGGAGCACCCTATCATTTATTTTTACTGACAACACCCCGTTTACCATTTTAATACAAAGTTTAAATTCGGTTTAAGAGCAATTGTACCTACTTAAAATATTTTAAATTTCAAATGTAAACAACTTCTTGACAGATCGAAACAGAGAAAAATATATATTAAAAAGAGAAAGACTATTAACCACGTTGAATAACTAGCTCAGCGATATAGTTTTATGGTCTGGTATTTGTGACGTCATAGTTGGGATTTTTGAACGCACTCTAAACGCAAAAATGCCTTAACTATTAACCACGGTTAAGTTTAATAACCATAGTATTTCATGGTATTTACGCGAAAAAACGACTATAGGTTCAGTTTTTTCACAACTTGGAATCTATGAATTTATAAGACGATGTCTCGCACCCATAATTACAGATAGTCTAGCTGAACAGTTCTCCTTCTTAGGGAAAAAAGGAAAAACTATGTTTGGAAGCTTATCATTAGGCAAACCAATAATCGGTAAATAAAAATAGACTTTTAAACCCAACTTCTTTTGATTTTGCAGATTTTTTTTATATTTTTTTACCCCACTTAAAGAATATTTCCAATTTTTTTTATCAAACTATAGAAGCATCGAACCCGCAGCTGAGTGGGTCGTGTTTCTATGTTGGTAGTTACCTGGAAACTTTTTTAGAGATGGGAAAATTCCCATTTGACGAAAATTCCCGGAAACTTTCCATCGAAAATTCCCGAAACTTTCCGAAAGTTTCAAAAAAAATTTTTTTATTGCGAAAATATTTTTTTTATGCCAGGGATTTGCAACAATATATAACACATTAACTTTTTGTCAAATTTTTGGTTGCATTAACGACATAGATTTTCTTACAGAACTTGCTTGAGAGCATGGTCTTTTTTGTTTTTTTGCACTATTTTGTAATAATTCCAAACACTAGATTTTTCTCTTGGCATTGTGCTATGCCTATAAATAAACAACAAAAATGTAAGAATGATTTTAAATTTGTTTATTTTTTTTTTAAAGTTTTTTGTGTTGATGCTGAATAATCCGGCTTCATTGAGGTTATGTACCTTTATAATCTGTGGTTATGTAACATAACTTACATTATTTATACTTCTTCTGCTTTAAATTAACACAAATTAAATTCTTATTCAAAGTTTCTTGGCCTTGTATCATGGCCTTAACGAAAATCAGCGGTTAAACAATTGACATTTAAATGAAAAAAACAAGGAAAGTTTCCAAGGAATGTTTCCGGTAGCTTAAAAGAAACTTTCAAAATGAAAATAAATTCCTAATTGGAAACTTTCCAAAACGGAAAGTTTCCTTAAAATGGAAACTTTCCGATTCCCATCTCTAAACTTTTTCTTAACAATATAATTTTTATTTCAGAATGTGCACAGAAATATGAGCATTCAAATAATTACAAAGAGGCTGAGCAACGAATTGGAGATTGGTTAAGAAGGGCAAAAGAAAGAAGGTTAAGAGGAGAAATAAAAAAAATTGAATTAAATGTTTAATTTTAGCTATAGGTATATAATATTATTATGTATGTATGTGTATGTTTTTTTCATTATACTTTTATGTAGCTGGGGTATTTGGTTCCTTAAAGGTCTTTGGGGTGCTTATTTGTTTCCTTTTATATTATTTATTTATATTATTTTATATTTACTGAGTATTTACAGTATTTCAGTTTTTTACTTTAAATTAAATATGTTTTAAGTATTTAAACATTATTACAGTTACAGTATTGTATTTGTTAAGAAATAACGTGCTGCAAGCTTTAAGTAGTAATGGTATTGGTGCCTGTTTGTCTCCATAAACTGTGTCCTTTCAAAATAAAACTTATTTTGA